CCTGCCAGTCAGAGCTTGGCAGGGAGTGGGTACCACTGCATCTTTACCGGGTAGAAGACAGGTGCTTGAAGAGTCACACAGGACTGGCTGGGCAGGGACAGCCCGAGACCCTCACAGCTGGCTGGATGGGTCAGGCTGCTGACGACCTTGGCGGGAATGGGCCAGTCCAGAGAGCCACTTCCTGGCTCCTGGTTATAATTAGCAGTCAGCCCTTAAGTAGGTTAGGATGGGAATGCTCACGCGTGACTTGGCTTGATTTTCCAACACATAATGCTTGGGAGGGTGGCAGGAGAGGCCCGGGCCTTTTCCTGAACCAGACACGACCTGTAAAGGGTGTCCTGAGGGCGGGGGAGATGGGCCCCTGAGGCCCTTGTGCCATTAACTCCGTATCTAGAAAAACAGTCTAAAGAAACATCTGCGCCAGAAGGCGCGCTAGCCGTGGCCACGCCGTGTGTGGGAGCCGCCTCCTAGCCAGGCCTGGCTGGGCGCCCCTGCTGCAGGTCTCCTTCTCGGCAGCCTCGCCCCTCCCCGCCCCCGAGTCACAGGTCCCCCCTGAGACCCAGGAGGACGAAGCCAGTACCTGTTGGGCACCAACACCTGTCGGGCATTGTGCCCGAAGCTTCCTCCACTTCTCTGGATTCTAAACAGTGCCTCCTCCAGATCACAGATGTGAGCGCTGAGGCTTCTTGGAGCTCAGTCAGGATCACACAGCTGCCCCTGGATGCGGGTCCAAACCTGGCCTTGCTGGCCGCTGTCCTGGCTCCTCCAGGCCCGTTCCTGGTAGCGGATCAGGGCTGTGCCCGGACGGATTAGAGGGGAGGAGCCGCAGCGCCCACCAGGTCCCCCCACCGTGAACGTGAGCTCCGTGTTGCTGTTACCAGTAATCGTTCTTTCATTCCCCGCGGGCTGCCTGTGCTGGGACTTCATTATCCCAGGGGACTGAGTAGTCTCAGCCCCGCGGGATGATCCTTACCACTGGGCTCTCTGTTTCATGTAATTATCGCGGTTGGAGACTTGTTAAACCCAGTGTTGTAGCCGGTCCTGAAATTGTAGAGAAACCAGCCTGCTGTGTCCAGGCTTAGGTCTGGGCTGTGCTGGTTCACTCTCTCTCTCTTTCTGTTTCTCTCTCTCTTTTAAGTTTTTTTTTAATTAGACTTTATTTCTTAGAGCAATTTTTAGTTTACAGAAAAATTAAACAGAAAGTAGAGTTCAAATACACCACCCCAGCCCCAGCTTCCCCTATTAACATCTTGCATTTGTTATGATTGGTGAACCAGTTTTGATACGGTTTTATTAACTAACATGCACAGTTTCCATCTGGGGCCACCCTTTGTGTTGTACATAATATGGGTCTGCACAAACGTATAATGCTGTGTATCCACCATCATGGTATCATACGCAGTGGTTTCACTGCCCTAAAAATGCCCTGTGTTCCACCTCTCCATCCCTGCCCCCCGCAGTCCCTGACAACCACTGATCTTTCACTGTCTCCATGATTTTACCGTTTTGATACTGTCATAGAGTTGGAATCACACAGCATGTAGCCATTTCAGACTGGCTTCTGTCAGTAGCATGCATCTGAGGCCCCTTCAGGTCTTTTCATGGCTTCATAGCTCATTCTTGATCGTTCTCTATGTAGTGAGGTCTGGCCAGAACTGCCCCGTCCCTGTCTAGGGACCCATTCCTGTCCTGTCTCGCTATGGGAGGGTCCCGGTCCCCTCTTACCATGGCCAAGTATCACCTCTCCTGGCCCCAGTCCACTCTCTGGGCGGCAGCAGCAGTGACCACGGCACTTAGTCTGCTGGCTGCTGTGAGGAGCGGTCCCCCTTATGAAGCACTCGTGTGTGTAGCTGACCTACAGGAAGGGGCTCTCCTCCCAGTACGGCAGCTGCAGGGGTCCAAGGAATACGTCCATCTTGAGGGGTAAAAAGGCCCACACCTCAGATCCACAGGAGTCTCAGGCTGTGATGCCAGGGCCAAGCAGGTAGATGCGGGCTGGAGGGAGCACCTGCGCGGGCGTGGTACCTGGACTGACAGGTGTCCGTCCCCACTGCGCAGTGTCTACTTCGCACCACCAGAGGGCAGCACCATGCTCTCACCCCACCACCCAGAGGCCCCGGGAAGGATCCTCTTACAACGCAGCTCTCCCCCCAAACCAAATATATTTCCAGGAAACCAGTGATGTCAGGCTGTGTGTTCCTGAAAAACAGTGGCTACTGTATATCGCACACTTAGGGTTTGCTGGACTCTGGGCTGCCTGCGGGGCCAGCGTTTCTGCGCGCGGCGCTAGCATCTCGGGGCGGTGGTTTGAGCAGAGAGCGGACGCTGCCCCCAGGGCTCCGACACGGACCCCGGGCGAGGGTGGTTTGCTGGTTCCCTCTTCCTGGGTTTGAGCCAGATTCCACTGGTGGAAAACCTTGCCTGTCTCCTCATAGACAGATGAGGCGCAGGGTCCATTGTGTGCCTCACAGATGAGAGGGTAACAGCGTTGATCTTGGTCCCTCCCCCCCCGAAATCGTGGTGTAGCCTCAGATGTGGACGGGGTGACGCGGGAGCCCCGGGCAGCTTGGGGGCGCACAGCTATGAGCTGGCACTGTCCGAGGTTTCAAACCGCAAGCTCAACGGCTCGTTCTGCATGGGGAGTCCTGAATTCACGTCCAGGACACCCTCCATCTCTGTCCCCTCCCACCGATTTCATTAGTCAGGGATGAGGCGGTTTCTGTGATTATCATATAGAAAAAAGAGCGAGGGGCTTGCCTGCTGTTGACACTTCACCCAGAATGGAAGTGTCCCCGCAGCTCTCAGGACGGCGGGCGGAGCTCTGGGGCCCTCGCCGGACTCTGCACGGTCCAGTTTGCTGTTTGGTTTCCTGGCACCTCTGGAAATGCAAGCCAGGCGTTGGCACGGAGCCTGGGGTGCCCACAGCAGCTCCGAATTATTCTTCGCGCCTCCTTTCCTGCACCTGCTTCTCTAGGCAGTGTGGCTTTTGTCCCCAGGCACCTGCTATCCTTGGGGTCTTCAGAGCCTCCTCCTGGAAGGCCTGACGTCCTCAGCGTGGCCTAGGCCCTCCTTTGTGCTGCCCACGGTCCAACTCCCCACCACAGGCAGGACCGCAGAGGAGGGAGCCCTGCTCTGCAGATCAGGGGCTGCGGGACTCGGGGGTCTGGGGTCCTAGGGGGCAGGCTGGACACTGGGTGGAGAAATGCCCTCCCCTGCCTGACACCCACCTCCTCTGTTTTCACATGGGTGAAGGGACCTCCTGGCCTGATGCTCGGTCAGTGCTGGTGTCAGCAGCTGTGCATGTGTGTGTCTGTGTGTGCGTAGGTGTGTGTACGTGTGTGTATCTGTGTGTGTGTATCTGTGTGTGTGTGTGAATACACGTAACCCTCCAATGAATCAGGGTGTGTCTGGAGCATCCCAGGTGGTGGGTGTTTTCGGGGCCCGCACCCCCTCCCCGGGGCCCAGGTGTGGCTCCAGCCAGGTGGGCAGCTCACCTGCACCAGCAGACTTCCCACCTCAGGCGCCCGCAGCTCCCCGGCTTCTGAGCTTGGGCCTCTGCGAAAACCTGGAAGGCATTCAGCCCAGATGCCGGGCAGCCCAGACAAGGGAGATGGGTGTTCTGCCTCTGGGGGACCCTCACCCCGGGGGACAGGGGCAGGATCAGCGCCGCTGCCTCCTCGCTTCTGAGGGGCGATCTGAGGCACATTCTGTGTGACTCCCAGGAGGGTATCCGAGGGGGTGACTTGCTCGACCCCACACCATCCTTGCTGTCTTCTTCCTGCCTCACCCTCCTGTCCCCACTCCCTCCTGCCACCTGGGGTCCCTCAGAGACACCCCATCCTTGCCTCAGCTTCAGGTCAGGGGACCCCAGACCAAGATGGGAGGGTTGCATTAGAAGATGTGCATGTAAGCAGAGACCCCCACTCAGAAAGCAAAGTGTCTGCTCGGAGCTGGGCAGGCAGGAGGTCGGCCACCATCACTGCTCTTGGCAGAGATGCAGAGGCAGGCGGAGGAGTAGGGAGCTTCCCAGGGGAGAGGAGGGGGCTCAGGGTGCCTGAAGGGGGCTGGGGGCCTAGGGGGGCCTGGTACAGCTACCAGAAGTGGGGCGTCCCAGGTGACTGGTCGGGGGGCGGGTTGGACCTCGTCAGGCTGGTCCTGGGTGGGAAGTGGATCCCTGCTGCTGGGGTCCCTGCGTGGACTGTGCTCTCTGCCAGGCAGCCTCTCGCAAAGCCTGCAGCCCCTCTGCCTCGAGCTCTGGTCCCCAGCCCCTGGGCATCCCCCGACCACAGCTCTGCCACTTGATGTGTGGCGGATGCTCACCTGGCTGTCGCCACCTTGGGGCCGGAGCTCCACACGAGCAGACCCGCCCGGGGCCCCGCGTCCTGCACCCTGGCCCCAAGTCCTGCTTCCTGACCCCGAGTCCTGCACGGCGGCCCCTGTGGAGCTTTTAGAGGACATGAATGAGGAGCAGGTGGTCCTGCCCAGGCCCCAGGAGCCCCGCCGTCAGGCCCTTTGACTGCCCGCCCTGACCGTCCCTCAGGGGTTTCCAGCGCCTCCTTAACCATCCTAGGTTGTGGCTGGCTTTAGGAGGGCCAGTGACAATATTCAGGTTGATGTCCC